GTGCCGTTTGTGCCTGGAAAACGTCGCAGGATCAAACCGAGCCTCCCAGGAATTGCGTGCGAAGGGAAGCAGTGACGTTACTGTACGGACGCGAGGTCGGGGTTTGCTTTGCCGGGCGCCACGGCGCTTCAGAGGGCTGTTAGCCGGCTAGCAAACAGTTTGCAAAGAGCTGTCGAGCGGCAGTGTCAGAAAAAAAACCCAAACCAAACCAGGATCAGAGATCACAGAATCATAGAATACCAGGTTGGAAGGGACCTCGAGGATCAAGAGACCCAGTTTCCTTTCTACAGTAGAAGCAGAACTTCATGGGACATTGGCAGGTGAATAGCAGAGGGTGCTGAGCAGAGCAAGCTGCTGTATGTCCAGCGTGCACAGAAATGAATGAACCGTGCAGAACTTCTTCAGGAAAACACTAGGCAGCTAAAGAGTGTCTTAGTCTCTTGAATTGTTGTGTTGGCTGAAAGTATATGGGGAGGAGAGCACTTAGTGGGCAGAGGAAAAGAAGTATCAGGGAATAGGAGAATATTAGAGTATCAGGGGAGGTTTAGGTTTGGATATTAGGAAGAAATTTCTTCACTGAAAGAGTTATCGGGCACTGGGAACAGGCTACCCAGAGATGTGGTCGAGTCCCCATCCCTGGAGGTATTTAAAAGACAGGTGGATGAGGTGCTTAGGAACATGGTTTAGTAGTGGACAGGTACAGTTGGACGCGATGATCTTTTCCAACCAATGGTTCTATGCTTCTATAATTCTATGAGTAGGACTGGAGTGATCTCTAAAAGTTATTCTCCTTTATGAACCTCTCTGGTGATGTTGGTCCCGTAGTCTTTCTTGGCAAACTGTCCCAGTGTCTATAAAGTTTACATCCCCCACACTTTGGGTTTAAGCCCATTGCTTTTACATTAACCAGGAGTGAGCATATACAGTGGGTTAATTCCCTTAACTGCATCGACTTTTCAACTATACACAGAGTGTTGGTATGTTGCCCTCAATCTTCTGTTTCCTAGAGTAAATAATCTCTTTTTAAAAATATATATATACAATTCTTTATTCTCACAGGTCATGTTTTCTAGAATTTCTAGAATACAAATTTTTGTAGTTTCCTCTGGACTTTCTATGTGGTTTCTGTCATTCCTGAACTTCAGTGCCTAAAACTAGGCACAGTATTTTAGCTAAGTGTTAAGTTTCCGTCACATCTTGGGTCTGCACATCCACTTAAACATGCTGGCATTGTGTTTGTGCTTTTTGCAGCAACACAGTTTTACCGACTCCCATTCAGCCTCTGAGCTGCTATCACTCCCAGCTGCTCTGCTCATGACCTTCCCTAGAAGGGAGTGCACTACCACCATTTATCTTAGAATACTCTCTCTAACGTCACAAACATAGAAATTCTCTCTTAACATCACAATTATTTCTGTATAAGACATTTACAGAGGATGATACAACATTGTTGGCCCTCCAGTCAGGATACCTCCCAGGTCTGTTTTAAAACTCTTGCCAAAAAGACCTTCAGGGCACGTAAGGTGCTTTGTGCCATGTACACCAACAAAGACAAGTCAGCCCTACATTATAAATAACAACGTGAGGAAAAGCGATCCCTGGCTGATTGCTCTTTACAGGACATACCCACAGGTGAAACTATCCAGCCAGTAGTATACCCCTGTTGCTTCAGTAATGAAAGCTTATTTCATGATATGGATCCAGCTTGTGGCTTTGCCAGGTTAACAGTGATCATCATCGTAATACTTTGCTGAGCTAGCAAATCAGTGTTTGAATGTTAGCAAAGCACTTCTTGTGTGTTTGCGCACAGCTGTGTACTTCAAGGACTAATCTTGCAGTCCAGTATGCCCTCACAAGGACCTCAATTTAAAAGGCAAGGAGCTCAAATTGGTAAGGAATTTCTGAAAATTGTAAAACTTGCATTATGCTAGATAAGAATTTGGGCAGCATTAATTCCTCATTGTTGGGGAATCAGGCTTCTTTGGTCACTTAACAGCTACCTACATATTACGCTGTCAGGCAGATTTCTTAAATGTGCAGCCCACAAACCAAACGTGGGCTGTGCTGCACTGCTCTGGGGCCCCTCAGCGGTATGGATGGGAATGGCCCACCTACCCCCATGACTACCACAGTACATAGCAAAGCAGGGGAACTGACCACTTTGGACATGCTTTGCTCTTCATCTTGGGGCTGAAGTGGGCAGGCTGGGCAGGGAGCCTTGCTGTGTTACAGCTGCAGTAAAACCAACGGGTAGCATTGGGCAGGGCCCAGGGGCACAGCTCAGCACTTGGTTGTCAGTACAGCTTGGGCTGTCAAGCTGTACCCCTCCTGTCGAGCTTCACCCCTTCCCAGCTCTGTTCCCTCCGCACTAACTGCCTTCACCAATGCTCCTATTTTCAGCTGGGTCAAGCATTTTTTGGTTGGAAATCAGACACTGCAGGAAAGGCAGTCATACCACTACAGGGGATCTGCTGAGTGCAGACGGGGATAACCCAGCTGGTGACAAGAGTTGGGCAGGGTGGTGTCATAGACTCAAAAGACACTGCGCCAGCTCAGTCTGCATGTAGCTGACCTTGTGCCTGGAGTCCAGAGGGTTCATCCTCACGTGGTTTGAAATGGAATCCCTGAGGAGCCCAGCCTGCCTGGGAGAGCTGGTAAATGTTCCTCCTAAGCGGATCAAAACTGCCCACAGACCTCGTGCTTTTATGCTCTTCAGCCTCCTTAGACGAGCTGAAGAAACATCCTAAACACTTGGTTTCAGCAGTGCATGGCTGAGGAATAGCAACTGTCTTCCAAAGGTATTTGCCAAAGCATTCTCTGAAGCCCCTCAAACAGCGTGGTTCTGATTTTAGATGGAGATTCTTAAATGTTGTTAGAATACAAATATAAACTGTTGTCAGCCCCAGCTTTACAGAGAAAGAATAGAGGTGAAGGAATTGAACACTAATGTGTCCCTCTGAACAAGGGATCGCTCAAAATTAGGAGTCACTTTTGAACACTGAAGCTTAAAGCCTGTCATTTATGTATGCTTAACAAAATACAGCTAGAAGCTCCACTCACTTAGATTTAAAGAAAGACTCTCTATCTGCTGATACCTGGACAGTGTTTAGTAGTTTACTCTTAGACAGTCGACTAAAACCATAAAATTCTTCCATGTGAGCTGTGATTAGGGAAACCTCCCCTTCTTCCTTTCTCCTCATTGTAGCCCTTAAATACAAAGATGTTGATAACTTTTAAAAAGTGTAGTCATCAGAGTGATGTCTTTTTTAGCGTCTTTGGGAGAATCAGTTAGTACATTGGCATCAGCAATCATGGTGTAACATTCAAGATGCAGGTCACTTCCTTCACTGCAGTGCAATTTACAGTTGCAAAGAGAAACTTAGCTAACATTTAATTAACCAAGGGTTGGATTACTTTGTGCCGTGGATAGGATATTCAGATTCCTGCCACTTCAAGAGGAAGAAAAATAATTACACACAGATGTGGAATAATTTATTTGTTCTGTATTGACTAGTGAAACAAAATACCAGCTGTAATTATGCAACCTGGTTTCCTTTATTTACAACAGCTGAACAAAATATCTGACAAAAGAGATGTGGCCTATATCAGTAGTGTAAACACTGTCTAGAGTATGTGGTGTGAATTTGTAAAGCAATGTGTTATTTCCAATTTACTGCAAGATGTACTGTTTATTTAGCGTAAGTATATTTGTTGTTATTGTTGTATCTATTACTTAGCTAGAGATAACATGGTTATTACTTGTCTCAGCTAAAAATAAATTAGTGTTTACAGTTCCAGAGTAAAAACATCATGCCAAGTGCCAGCTAAAGATGAGTTGTTTTTAAACTGTTATGGAATTAAAAAGCGGTAAAATGTGTACTGTTCTGTAGGTAAGAAGCTTTTTCCTTTATGGCTGCATTTCATTGTTTCCTTAGTGTCATGATATAGCAGGGTGCACTAGACTGATTCTTCTGATCAGCCTTGGAAGTCATGTTGCAAATGCTGGCTTCATCTCATGTTTTTCTACCCGGTCTGTGCTCTCGATCTCCTGATGCAGTTTCTCTTCAGTTTTACTTTTCTGTTTTTACTTCCTTTTTTTTTTTTTTTTTTTTTGCTGAGCGAGGAGATGTTACAGTTTCAAAACTTGCCTAAGTTTTGCACTTTACTTTTTCACTCCTCTTAAAAATTATTCTACATTATTTACAAGACTAAGGACTTCGTAAGTCTGGTTGCGGTGTCAGTATGTGTTGCGTAGTGATTAACTGTTGTTTCACAACACAAATAATGTAATTAAAAATCTTCTCTAAAAGTTTAGTGAACATACTGACACACGGAGAGAAAAATTTTCTCCTGCTATGTTTGGCATACTTAGTTTTGTAATACAAACCCTACAGAGAGAGCAGTAACTACAAAATTTAACAGTATTAAGTGAAATGCCCGCACTTTGGTTAATATAGCCTCAAGGCATAAAGAGAGCCTTTAATGCATTTAGTAAGAGCTCTTTCTGTTTGATCTATTTCTGTTTTCCAGCTACCTACTCTGTGCTGCAAATGAAAAACTGAGATGTCAAGAACAGTAAATTATATGCAAAGATGCTGTTTAGTTTGTCTAAGTGCCACTGATTTG